AAGTGTCTCAAGAATGGACTAAAGACTGTGTTGCAAAGGAAGCTTTTTTAAAAACGTGTGCCAGAGTCTTCCAAGTCACCAGGGCCAGAATTCAAACTGCATGGTTGGTCATGTGGCATTTAGCTCCCTTACCCATCAGGCCACAAGGGTGGGTTAAGGGAAGCATATTAAATGAAGTTAGAGAGACATATAATCTAGGGTCTTACAGGCCATGGCAAGGAGTTTGGATTTTATTCAGAGACCTTACTGGGTTTAAGCTGGGGAGTGATAAGAACTAACTCACTGTTTGGAAAATAACTTGGCCTGATTTATGGAGGATAGACTGTAGATGAATATATTAATTATCTATTGCCTTGGAACAAATTACCCCAAAACATGGCAGCTTAAAACAACAAGTATCAGGGCCAGCAGGTGGTGTGGAGTAGCTAGATCCCATATGACCAACTCTGTAGTTTGAGTCTTAGACCCAACAGCTTTAAAATCACACCAGGCACGTATCTATATGTGCCCCAAATCCCAAGACGAGACTAGAGGGAAAGGACTGTGGTGTGGCCATTCTCCTGAGGGTTTTTTTTTTTTTTTTTTGAGAGGTTTTTGCTATAGGGTGCGTATGCTCGCCAGAAAGACACAGGGAGACCGAGAGACAGAAAGCGAGAAATCAATCCCTTCTCCTCCATTCTCCTCTCGGGATCTTGGGCACACACGCACACGCGCCCGGCGTGAGTTTAAGCTGCTGGGTCTGGGACTCAAACTGCAGTCGACTACATGGGAATTCAGCGATGTAGCCATTACACTAACTGCTGGTCCCATCCTGAGGGGTATTTCTTGCATTCTCTCTCTCTTTGGTGAGCACACATGCCCTATAGCAAAAACTAAAACAAAGCAAAACCCAACAAATATTATATTATCTCACACAGTTTCCAAGGGTCAGGAACTGTGAGCAGCTTACATGGGTGATTCTCTTTCATGGTTTCTTGTGAGTTGCCATCATATTGTTGCTGAGTACAGCAGAGGTGCAGTCATTGAAAGTTTGACTGAGCCTAGAGGACCCACTTCCATGCTCACTCAAGTGGCTATTGGGAGGAATCCTCAGCTTCTCACCACATGGGTCTCTGCATAGGCATATGCACAACATAGCAACTGGCTTCCCTCAGTGTAAATGATCTGAGAGAATGCAACCAAGATAGAAGCTACAGTATCTTTTATAACCAAAACTGAAAAGTGACATCCCATCACTTCTGCCAAATTCTGTTGAGGACACAGACTAACCCTAGTACAATAAGAAACAGCACTATTGCAGGGCTATGAATTCCAAGAAGAGATCAGTGGGGCCATCTTGGAGGCTGACCCTAGATGCACAGTGGGCAAGAGTAGAAGCAAGAATTTGTTAGAAGGCTATTCCAGTGGGTGTAGCAATTTGATAATATGGATTATGTATCCTAATGTGGGATATTTGTGATGTGTATTTCTTCCCAGGTTGCCGGCGGGATCAGGATGGCTATTACTGGATCACAGGCAGGATTGATGACATGCTCAATGTATCTGGTGAGAGTCAGGGACCATCTTCCCATATCATTCTATTCCCATGGCAACTCCCAGCCAAGAGCCAGGGCTATCCTTTGCCTAGACCATTTGGAATGCAGCATTTGATTCTGGTCCCAGGCTCTGGAGGAAGAATGAACTCCAGAACATACCTGAGGGAGGAGAAACTAGATGGTCGGGTAACTGGAAACATTTCAATGAATGAAGGTCCTTCCCCATTTGACTAGACCAGAACTACCCTGTGGGTACAGATGGTACATGGGCTGGAGCAGAGGCTGGGATCTCTCTCATGACATTTCTTTTACCTTGACAAGGACACCTGTTGAGTACAGCAGAGGTGGAATCAGCACTTGTGGAACATGAGGCTGTTGCGGAGGCAGCTGTGGTGGGCCACCCCCATCCTGTGAAGGGCGAATGCCTCTACTGCTTTGTCACCTTGTGTGATGGTCATACCTTCAACCCCACCCTCATGGAGGAGCTCAAGAAACAGAGTGAGGAGCCTCCCTGGGCAGGGTCTGCAGGGTTTATGTGAAGACACAATTACCACTGCAAGTTGTTGGGGAGGGGCTAGAGCAAGCTGCTTCCTAAACCACAAACAGATCCTAAGAATCCCAGGGTTGATTGCCCTTTCCTGCTTATTCTCCACTATTTTCTCCATTAGGATAATAGCCAACATTTATAGAATACTTTCTTGTGCCACCATTAATCTATATGCTTTAAGCACATTACTCCATTTAATCCTTAAAAATGATCTGTTTAAAAGATCCTATTATTGGAGCTAGCAGATGGCATAATGGTTACATAGCTGGACTCCCATGATCCCAAGAAGAGAATAGAGAAGAAGGGATTGTGGCATGGCCATCCTCTCTGAGGGGTGATTTTTCACTTTCTGTCCCTCTGACTCTCCAGCAAGCACACACACACACAGTAGCAAAAATCTCTATTAGGGACCAGCAGATGGCGTAATGGCTATGTTGCTGGACTCCCTTGTACTCAACCACGGTTTGAGTCCCTGACCCCATAGCTTAAGACGCATTGGGCACATGTGCGTGCATGCCCAAGACCCCGAGAGGAGAATGGAGGAGAAAGGATTACAACATGGTCACTCCCCCGCTAGGGGGGTGATTTCTCACTTTCTGTCTCTCCGATTCTCTCTGTCTTTCTGGGGAATGCACACACTCTATAGCAAAAACCTCTCAAAAAAAAAAAAGATCCTATTATTACCCTCATTCTAAAAATGAAGAGGTTAAATCACTTGCCCAGGGTCATCAGATAAAAAGGTAGGATTTAAACTCTAGCCGACTGATTCTAGACCCTGAGATCCAGCAAGGTGTGTTAAGATAAAACGAGAGAGGGCCAGCAGGTGGTATGGAGGTTAAGGCGGCTGGATTTTGCATGGCTGACTTCAGGGTTCAAGTCCCAGACTCAGCAGCATGAAAAACACACTGGGAGCATGTGCATGTGTGCCCAAAATCCCAAGAGGAGACTAGAGAAGAGATTGTGGGGTGGCCATCCCTCCAGGGAGTGACTTTTCTCCTCTCTCTCTGGTGAGTGCATGCGCTCTATAGCAAACAAACAAAACAGTGTAAAGAGACATTGTGTCACAAAGAGGGAAAAGAAGGGGCATTGAATTCGAGAAGGACTCTGTGGGTGGGGCCTTGAACAAGAAACAGATAAGAGCACAAAGCCATCTCTTCCTTAGTTTTTCGAAGTCTGGCTAAGGGTGCTGAAGAAATGTTTAATAATTTGTTGGTTATAGTTAGAGAAAAGATTGGTCCCATTGCAACACCGGACTACATCCAGAATGCACCTGGCTTGCCTAAAACCCGCTCAGGTATGTTCAGAAGTCTCTAGGGATAATGATGGCCCTGTGGTGGTGGGAGGTATGTGGATAAAAGCCTTTAATAGGGTGAGGGTGGGTGAGTGCTGTCACTAAGTAACTAGAGGTCTGTGGTCCCCTAGGAAAAATCATGAGGCGAGTTCTTCGGAAGATCGCTCAGAATGACCATGACCTGGGAGACACATCTACTGTAGCTGACCCATCTGTCATCAGTCACCTCTTCAGTCACCGTTGCCTGACCCTCCAGTGAGCAAGACCCTGTTCTTTACCCAGGATTCCCCCTGCTTGGTTCTCCAAAGTTTTGCTCATCTTCCCTGTCCCCTATCAAGGAGTGCTGAGGGCCAGTGCTGACCCACATCACCTCCCTCAACCAGTTCTGGGACCAGGAACCTACTTTGTCCCTTGATGGAGACAACTTCCTATGACTGTGAAGCAGAAGGGACAGGGTCTAGGTCAGCCTCAGACTTCTGTGCCTCTAGACTGCAAAGAGCTCTTAGAGCCCAGAACAGGAACCGGAAGGTTATGTCTCCAACCCAAGTTAAATGTTTGAAAGCAAGTGAGTTCCTAGACTGAAGCAGGGAGGCAGCTCTGTAATCTTATGTCAGCTCTCTCAGGAAGCACCAGAACTTATCTTGGGCAGGCACTTACCTTAAAATGACAGTTTGTGAGTCCCGAAATAATTATTTTTTAGATACTTTGCTGCTTCTGTTCTGGGTCTGATTCTTTTTTGTGCTAGATGGCAATACAGTCTGCCCATTTGCTCTGGATGATTGTGGGCAGGCTTAGTCTCTAAAAGGTTTTCAGATCTTCTGCTTCTTTGAAGGAGTAGATGTATTTTATTCCTAGGGCCAGCAGAGCTTGTCTTCCTTTTCTTCTGTTCTTTC